AAAGATAAAAGTAATTAATGTTTGCAAAGAGCCCCAGGTACTGCAGTGACTGGTGTAACAGAATGGGCCTCCCAAGAAATTAGAAGTCTGTCTTTGCACCAAACAAAATATCAAAATAACTAGATTATAACAAAACAACATAATGACTGGATTCTTACTGAACAGATTATGTCAAATGGTGCTTTGAATAAGGCATATATTTTATGGGAAGGAAGGCAGGATTCTGCAATAAAAAACCTGATAACATGTACCCACTTCCCAGGCAACATTTAATCTGGCATATTCCAATTTCTGAGCTATTGACTTTGCAGACGTAACTTGCTTTAAATCTAAATGTTTTTATTTATATACATGTGTTTGTCTTTCATAAGAACATGATGACTCTTCTGTATTGTTTATATGCTCAATACATTAAAATCCTGTTGACTTCTTTCTCTGTTGTTACAGCCTCTTTGTGGTACACCAGTAACTCTTTAGGAGTTAGAAAAAGTGATTAAATAACACAGAGAAGGTGTCAAATGATACTGTTAAGATGATTAACTTAGAAATGCAAAAATAAAGGCAGTCAAGGGTGATTACTGGAGCTAATCATTTTGGGCTTGCCTTTGAAAAATGCACCTTCATTTACAATTGAAAACAAATGATATTTTTACTGTTTAGTATTCACGCAGGTAGATTTAGCCTGTTGACTAGAGAAGATATTACAGCATAAATACTATCTTAAAAATTTTCTCTCTACTAATATCTTGCTGTTTGCAATATACATATACATTTCAATTCACAGGGGAAGGAATATGGCTCTCTCTCTCTTTAGTATTTAATGTATAAATTTAATGTAAATAATGGGATATGGTAAATGAAAACTCCAAAAACGGAATAAACAGTTCATTTATCGTCAATGCTTAGAGAAGCTTATTGAAACACACCTTTCAGTAACCGCCACTGAATATTAGCTATGAAATTCTCATCATGCTTTGAATGTTACCCATTAGGATTAGCCATTTATATAGTTAAAAGGCTCAAAATGTTTCAAATATACCTTTAAAAACATTGTTACCTCAAATCTAACTATACATATTCACAAAAACTGCATTCAGCATGTCTGAGATTCAACCCAATATTGCTTCAAATTAATTATTCTTCTTTAATTGCTCTGTATACACAAAAGTGACCTATTAATTTAAAGAAAATCTATCAGCACAGAATGTATTCTCTCTTATAAACAAGCAAGATGAACTTGACCTTGTTTGAACTTGTTTTGATGTGGCCCAGATGGTGGGCTACATGCTTGAATAGCAGTCTAAAGCTGAGGAAAAACTCATATAGTGAGATCTAGATTTATAGCCTTTTGCAAATTCCTACCTTGTATTGTCCTTTCAGCATCTGTTCTGCCCCCGCTGCGGTCAGCTTCTATCTCTGGGGTCAGAGAGTCTAGAAACATAGAAAGGTAAGACTGACACATATTTCATTTGGTTCTTATAGCCCTTTTTACAACCTGTTACTCCAGTGCTGAATTACAATACAATCAACCTTTGTCAGTTTTTTTAATGTTGAACAATGACTGGAGGCCAGGACAATTTTTTGTTAGACTAGGAAGATTAATGAGCAATAGATTTTTCAAGCATAACAGGGGGGGAGAAAAAGCAGAAGAAAAAAAAAATTGGCTTCTCAAGCTAATAATATAAAATTGTCCTAGTTTGGACATTCTCTCCAGTGAGTTTGTTTGCACATACTATGAAAAGTAACCAATATAGAGAGAGGCATCACTTGATTGGAGGAAAGAAATCCCATCACATTATAAATTTTCAACATAATTATCTTCTTTTGGCACTTACATTGAATGTTAATGACATGCTGGCAAAAATTGGCTTCTTACCATTTAGGACCCTGAGAGTATCTGTTGAAGCTGCCTGTTTCAGTGTCTGTTCTGCTTGCTCCCGTCGTTTAGTCTCAAATTCAAGTGCTTCCTGCAATTTCCTCTTTGCCTTTTTTTCCTTCTTTAGCCTTTTCTGAATTATTGCTAGGAAAAAAGAAAATAAGTGTATTCAAATTTGGATCTGAAACTTGGCTACATTATTAACTTTTAAGAGTCCTGAGAACAATACAACTGCAACAGTTCATATTAATTGATCTATTATACAATACCAATTTAAATTACTTTAAATTTTCTGGAATCACACTAGGATAGTTTAAGAGAAACTGTTCTATACCACGGTAGTGAAAACTGAAGGTGATATTCAGCTACAGCATTATTTTTTTTTATAAACAGATGAGAATCTCTGAATGTCCAAATCACAAAACCTTGGAACTAGCAATGAAATGCACATTTTGCATCGCCTGATGTAGATACGCCTCTGTCTCTGGGAGTGAGGTGTTTTTTCGGGATGAAGTAAGTCCACCATTTTGTTATTGCCTATAGGACACAGTCATTATACACACAGTGATGAAGTTCTCACCTGTGTGCCTGCAGCTTCTCTCCCACAAGAGGAAGATCCGTCTGGTCTGGTACCTGGGCTGCAGGAGGAGCTCAGCCCCACCCTGCTGTGGTCCTCATTCCTTAGATAAAGGCCCTGAGCTTTCTAACTCCCTTCCAAGCTGCTGGTCCTTCAAGCCATCTGGCCTCTTGGTGTTCGGTCTATTCCCCGTACTTATTTCTTATCTACATTTCCTTCTGTCCTTCCCTTTTCTCTTTCTTACTCTGTGTTGGCTCCCGTCCCATCAGACAACTAACCTTGAAGAACTCATAGCAAATCCTTTACAGCAGAAATACGTGGACAGTGCAGGGTCCCCCAACCAAATAAATATTATTTCACTTTGTCAAATGTGAGGGAAAATATTAGGAAAGGAAGTATTTTAAAACTAAGCATTACAAGGCCCCAAATTAGAAAAATATTTTCCTTGCATCTCTTGAGCTCAAATTTTACAAGGAAAAAGATTGCATGATCAAGGTGTAAGTGGATCGTAGAAGGGCTGTTTTAAAGAAAATTCATCACAATTTTCTGTTCTATGTTACCAGTGACTTACAACCACAAATGTAAGACTTGCATGATCCCTAACTGAAGGAACATACCACAGATTATGTTCCTGGTGGAGAAGAATGATGTGAACCAATTTTTCTTCTCAATAAAAGCCAAAGTGAGCCTCTAAAGAAATCATGCAGAGTCATAGAGCATTTAAATATTTCCCCCACTATGCCCCAGCTCTTCTTACATAGCACATTTAGGGTTTTCAGCGATGTGTGTGAATGAAGTTTATTTCTCATAAAATCTTCCTGGGTAACCCTTTCCTGAAGATTCTTTTTACTCTAACTAAAAAATTATCTACTGAACTACTAACTAAAGAATTATTTACACACACTAAAATAATTATCCTTACCAAAACCAGATACTAGGTGATATTAGGTCAGACTGCCAAGATCTATCTAGCCCTGTATCTCACTCCAAAGTAACCTCTGGTACATTCCCATGATGAATTCTGGAAAAGGTAAAAATATCCTTCTGCCAGTTCATACTCCCCATTTCCAGTAGTCTGTAATGGTGGTATCTTTCGCAAAATGCAAATAATGAAGGGAACTGTCATTGTTATTACTGCTTAATGTATATTCTAAGAATAACCACTTTTTGGGTGGTCTTGGATATTTTTTGTTGCTATACAGGACCGTTCAGACACAAAATGAATACAAGCACATACCTTGTAGTCAGAATAGCTACATAATTTACATCCAAGACTTTGGAATTTCGGTTCTTTCTCATTTTGTATAGTATCAACTACTTTACAGGCTAATTAGCTTATACTATCAAAGAACATCCAGTTTCTATACACAGGCTAAACTAAATACATTTTGAATCATTGCACGGTTTAAATGTTTTCATTATAAGTACTTTGAAAGTGATTGCAATAAATGAGAAGGAAACATATGTTGCTTTCTGAATTAAAATGTCATCATGGCTGACACATTGTAGATGTGACTACAGCAGTCAAAGCCAGAATTAGAAAGCCCTTACTGTGTAGCTGCTCACAGAAGAGATATTATCCTACTTTCACCAGTTGATGAGACACATCCTACAGCCTTAGGAATCACTAATTGGAATATTTACAAAGAAGGAAGGAAACAGTGCAGTAAATAAGAAGCTCTGTAGAACATACAGTAGCAGCAGTGAATTTCATTTCAAAAAGTGGCAAAAATATTCAGATGTGGCCGCTAAAGAAAAAGATATTTGACTTGTGTTAACATGATGAGTAAAAGATAGATGTTGCCTAACACTGATAATCCCATTCACCTGGTGGGTTTTGACCTGTATGTGACACAATGGCTCGTGTTTCTATGTTGCAGACTTAAGTCTATTTCAGTTTTTCCTACAGTCTCTCTTACCTTAACAGGGACATGGTACACTTCTCCCATCTTGCTCGTGCTTCCATTAAGACATATGAAACTTTCTTTAAGACATGACAGTTTCTATACAGAAAACTAAGAGTAGGTAAAGCCTACCACGTATTTTTCTACCTCTAATTGAGGAATAAATTCTCACAATAATTACAATCTGGCCTTATTTCTTTTCTTCTACTTGCATCTGTTCATTTTAAAGAATAATCCGTTACTTTTCTTTCTTTTGTACAGAAGTATCCACTAGCAGAGATAGCCATCCTCATTATATTTTCTTTGCTGCATACCACCATTAAATGTTTAAATCCATTCCTCTTTGATCTGACTCTTTTAGCAGTGCAATATCATCATTACAGGGATACATATAAAAAAAGCAGGTAATGCATCATGCTGAAAATAACTTTGACAATTATTTCAGTATACTGAATAAAATATGGGACTATCCCATGCTCTTTCCCGATATACAGCTTTCAGTGGAATTCATTTTGTTTAATTTAACTGCTCAAAACATATGTGTCTAGTCCAGGCTAGTAAACTATATTTCCTCTGGAGTTAAAGGGAAGAGAAAAAAGTCTTCATAGTGTAATTGACACCACCTATCTGTCTGAGAAGAGGACATACCAGTATATTTATTGACCAGAAAGGGAACCTATATTGACTTAAATGAGGTGCTTAACTTTAGATGGAAAAAACTTAAGTAAGGTCAGATGGGTCCCCCACAAATGTTTTCTATTGTTTATGTGATTGCCTAACCCTAAAAAGGAATACATATATTTGAGTAGTTGTGAGACACAAAGGTAGAAACATATGAAGAATAACTGAGCTCTTTTACAAAACTACTTTAGTAGTGTAAGTAGTGCAATTGTACTGAGAAAAATAGGCCAGTTGTGGACAAAGTGATGATTCATTGCACAGCTGTGACAATTGTTAATAATAATTGTATTCTCAAAAGTTAAAAAATGGAAATCAGTGATGTGACAGCCCTACCCTTAATGGGTCAAGGCATGAAACAGGATTACATTGTGTACTTACTGCTAGTATGTTAGTTAAAGGTACAATAGCACGGCTTGTGAATCCAAGCGTTCTTGGGATTCCCTGTCTAGCAGGTTCCCAAAAAATTAAACTGGTCAAGAACAGAGTTACAACTCTATCCCTGCAAAAATACATATCTGACTTGTCATGGTCTGTGCTAAACAGCAAGTAAGGCCCAGAGGTTAACTGTCCCTTGCAAAGTAATTAGACACTACTAACGGGCAAGATACATACATATGAAAAATGGCCCCATACAGAAAGACGGGCACATGTTCATAATGGAAATAGTTAATACAAATCACTGTAAACTGCCTTACCTTTACTATCAATGAAACTATTTAAAAATCTTTAACATACATATGCTTTACAGTGAGCTGATGTTAATGTTTGAAATGCTACTATTGCTACTGCCTTATCAAGAAGAACCTTAACTGTTCCTTCTACAAACATGTATTTGACCTACTATGCACTATAAAGGGCTTATATGCTACTATAATCTTTATATTTATTATATATGGCTAGCTTAAATATGCAATATATGACCCTAGCACATAAGAACAGCAACAAGAGTTCCTAAAACCGTGCAGATTCTTAAATTTAATGTAAACTGTCTTTGTATTAAGTAGCTATCCTTTTTCATAATGACCACAACCTGACAAATTCTATAACAGAACAGTATTTATAATTGTGCTGTGTATTACTGATGTAACAAGTAATATTCAAGAAAAATGTTAAGAAAAAGGAAGTTCCTTCTTCTAAATCTCATGAAAATTCTATGCGCAATCAGGCAGGCAGTAAAGCTTCCTGCATTGCAGTCAGCCTGGACTTAACATGAGGGAAGAGGGAAAAGTTTTGATCAAACACAGGTGTTTGATAAAAATTTAGGTTTCTTAAGGAAATAAACTACAAGGTGTTTATGTCTGCTTAATTAAGATACCTCTGTTCTTCTGCTCCACAGCCAACTGTTTTTCAAGTGTTTCCCTCAGTTCTATTTCCCTGAAGAGCTCCATCTTCAGCTCTGTCTTTTCCAGTTGGACCTGTTTCTCTTGAGCTCTGGCATTGTCTATAGCAACCTTTAGCAGACCCTGTTCAAAGAAAAGGTTGGATAATGTTTGAAGAATGTTAGAACAGCTGACATAAAAAATAACTTCTGTTATTTTTCCTTGATTAGTCAAGAGAGATTTTACAAATGAATTAATCCTGTTACTGGGTCAAAGCCTCCCAATTATCAACAGAATTTTTTTTTTACTGGAATTAACTTTAACAGGTGGGTAAAAATCTGTAAAAACCCAGGAGTTAAGTTTTCCCAGAAAACATAAAATTACATTTGACTGTACATATAACTAATGTGAAAACCTTATACCGATAGGTTTAGCCTTTGGAAGAAATAAAAGAGATAAGGCTACATCAGGCACTTGCCTGTGACCAAAATAAAAACCGGTCCTATTGAGAAAGAATTGACAGCCTCACAATCACATCATCCACAGAATGGCAAATTCAATCTTTAGCACAACTAAAGCCAATGGAAATTACCAAAGGGAAAAAGGCTGTTTTAAAGGCTTGCTACTTTGCTCCTTGTTGTTGTTGTTGTTGTTGTTATTATTTTCAAATATTTTCATATTTCATAGAGTTTCCAAGGAAGACAGATAGATTATTGGGATGCTAAGCAGAGGACAGTCACAAAGCAGGAAGATACCTGTTTCAAACTGTTCCCTGACCTTGTACAATGGTTATCTCATAGCAGAGAACAAAACACAATCATCTCTAGATTTCTTGACTTGGGATGGTTGAAATAAACTCTACCTTTTCTTGTTGTTATTGTATCAGGAAATAATGATTCAGCCTATTCTAAACTTCTCTTGAGAATTTCAACTTCACAGTTCCTTCTTTTTGCAAGGAAACAGGAAGATCCTGGCACAGCTAATAACTGGATAGCTAGGGCACTGAGATAGGGTATGAAAAAGAAAAGAGAAATGGAACTGAAATAAATGAACATGGAAAGAGGAAAGATTTCCTTTTCCATTTTCCAGAAGCCTGGCCATCAGGCCCTTAGGTCTACACCTGAATCTCTCCTCTTGAATCTATCATAACAGAGTAGATAATTAACCATGGATATGCATATATGAACCTCCATGGATATGGACCTAACTCTTCTGTATCCTAGGCAAGTGTCCTGACAACTTAACTGTAGAGATAATTTGACCCAACAGAGATTTAATTACTGATATAAAGCAAAACAATGCCAACAAGAGAGACTGAAGAGTACTCCCCAACAGCTCTGCTAGGGAAGCATTCAGCTAACAGATAAAAAGTTCACAATCAAGACCCAAGTTCAGAACAACCACACTACAGACAGGGAATCATGTCCCCCAACTGCCAGCTAAGCCTCCTCACCCCTCAGGCACACCTCCTAAACTGGATTCTGGGTTGCATTTTTTTTTCCCTAAAATTGTTTGAAATATCTCCAGAAAGGAATGGAAAAAAGAAGCAAGCATGCTAATAGTCGTGAAATGGAAGAAGCATCTTTTATGAGTGTTGGCCTCCACATTTATCCCACTAGTCTTCCCAATGTCAATGCCTGCTTTGAAATTTGTGTCCTTCAAACTCCACTTTTAAGTCTGTTTTTAAAGCCAGTTATTTTCAGTACTCCTCATCCTCATTCTTAACCAAATTGTTGCCTCAAGTGTTGTCTCATTCAGAGCTTAATGCTTTGTAGCTCTATTACACTTCAATCTATTAAAGTCCACAGGAGCTGAAAGAACTCAGCACCTTCTGACTGCAAGGCCCAGATGGTCACCAAAATTATATACACTACAGAAGTATAGCACTACATTTGAAAATATCTGATAATAGTAATGCGACAAATGTGCTTACAAATATGTTTAAAGTTTACAACAGTTTCCTTTAAAAGAACTAAAGCATAATAAAATAAAATAAAATAAAATAGCTAAAAAATAGCTAAAATAATTAGATAAAATAATTATAAAATAAAATAGCTAAAAAGGTATCTTGTGTTCAATGCTAAACCTGGTTTACTACTAAAGAAAACCACATAAAGCTAAATCTAAAGCTCTACAGACATATGCAAAGTAAAATGCAATTTGAAGCATTTGTAAAGCTTTTTCCAATCTATTTTTTTAAAAGTTAATATGCACCTGAATTCTGTTTCCTTCCCCCACCATATTCTCCTACATTTATGACCATCATACACTATGTTTTCTATATGGTATGCATTTGAAATAGTAAGAAATTGAAGTAGGAGTTGTTTATCAAAATCTTCTTGTGGCTTATGCTTAAACTCTAGAATATTTAATGTCCTCCAATTAATTACTTACTGGAACATGTGATTCATCGAAATCACTAATAAACCAGATCAAATGAAATTACATGAAAAGTATTTGTTGATGAAAAGTGTATTATCTAGTAAGTTGAAAGCTGCAAACACCCTCCTCCCAAATTCTTACAATCCATCTTGTTTACAATAAAATCGAGCTGCTAAAGCAACTGCCATCTTTACTCAATTCAGATACATTTATGTACATGTTTCTTCTTCATCAGGAACAAACAATTAGTAACAAATAAAAGAGATCATTACATCAAGTGCCCTTTTAGATCACCCCAATTAAAACTTTAGTTTAGCTGTATTTTAATTCTAAGATACCAAATTCTAATTTTCTGCTCTGATTGCTCTTGTTGACTTATCTTTGAAAGATGTACTCTCAGTGCAAAACCTAGAGATTATTTAGCAAGATGCCAATGTTGGCACCACTTAATGTGTTGATTGGTTGTATTTTCAGTAGCAGTTTAAAATAAATTACTATTAAACTATTATTGTCCTTGGCTGACAAAACACAATATTTTGGTGTTCTTTAAATATGAAACAATCATTATGAATAAACATGGCGAATAATACTAGAATGTAACACTGATGTGTTTAATTTCATATTAAGAATTGCTGCAAAGTATGAAGCTGCTAAAAGCATATTACATTTTCTATTGAATTTCTACACCACACTTCTCCCTCAACCTTTCCTTTTTTTATACTTGCTGCTAACATAGCTAATGGTAATACATTACCTATTGCTGCTGATTATGTCTGAAAAAATATTAGCTTTTTGGAGCCAAGACCCACTAGGGACTACTTATAAGCTACACAAAATTAAGTTTCATTTTTAGAAGTTAAATCAGTGCACATCAGTAGGCGTCCAATGTGAAAAAAATTCTGCACTAGAGCCAAACCGATGCATATGCAAAAGTGCTGTTGTTGCCAATGACAGCTCTAATGCAAAAATACTGGAAACGTTCAATATCTCCCTGTATTCAGTGCAGAAAGGGGTGAGAAAAACAACTAAAAAGTACAGCATCTAAAAATCACCCGTGCCTCTTGGAACGGGAATAGCAATTTCAGAGTTGCATGAAATTCTATTAATTCTCCCAGTGGATCAGCTGTAAAAGATTATACAAAATACGGTATGTCCAACTTGTATTCGCTATGGCTAATCCTCTAACCCGATATTAAATCAATATGCTGCCAATGACAATGGGAAATGCAGTGCATCAACAAGACGAAAATATTTCCCTTTAGGGAAGGTCAGATGTTATGGAGGCTGGATAATGATAATTGTAGTGAACATGCTCAGGTTCCAGATTTGTTTTTAATACAGTATGGCTCTATCTGGGGCCAGGGTTTAAACACGGCATGCCTTTCTTCCCCTCTGTGTCACTGTTAATAATTTTTTTTATTTCAATGTAATGTGAAAAATGGATATTTTCCCCTTGGAGATTTATAGATCATTCTGATTTGGCTTGTTTACTTTAATGCACTTGTTTTAATATTTTCCACTGATAAGTTCTTCATAAATGTCTCAAACAAAAAGTTAAATTGATATATGGTTGATGTTTCTTTCTGTTCTCTGATGTATCTGGAAACACCATCATGTTAGGGCAGTCTACTGATCCTATATAAATTAAATGTATATCAAACCTCAACTTGGACTTAACACCAGTATTACCCATCATTACTTTTAAAAATTGCAAATAATGTGTTACCTATTTTGAAAGGGGTGGAGGAAGGTATATAGAAGCTTTTTCTCTTCCTAGTTACATCTACAGTGTGTTCCACCTAACATGATTTAGTTAGCTACACACTTTTACGTGACATCAAAATGGCCCAACTAGCTAGTCCAGTGGTCTATCTAGAATATCTTATCCTGTTTCCAACAATCGCCCACAGTGAGTGAAAAAGGAAAACTAGAAGAACAAGACATGCACACAGTGAAGTTTTTCCTAGTCAAACCTCACAGCTTACAGAGATTTGTAGCTCAGGGGTTCCTTTTGCAATATTAGCTATTCATGGTGAAAACACTTTCAAATAACATTGCTTCTCTTTTAGTCAGGAAATTACACATAAATTGTATGCTCTCACTATTAAAACTGTCTAGTGAAAGGCTTGCATGTATGTACTTTTTTAGTTAACTTTGCTTCACAGGGAAATTTTTTAATATTTGCTATTTGTAACTGACTACTGACTTAGTAACACAAGCAAGGTAAGATAACACAGCTTGACTATCTCTACGTATGACTCCAAAAAGACATTTTTGTAATATCTTAGCTTGAATATCTCGATCACAGGTAAAGGCATATTGCACAAGTATAAATGACATTTTTCCATTAACATTTTCTGTGAAAAATAAAATCATTCTCTTGAATTTTACCAGAGGATAAATAAAATAACATGAAGTAAACCTATGTTATTTACTTTATCCAGTGTTTGCAATGTTTTTCTCTTGTGTATTTAGTCATAGATAGCAACAGTGCAGGAGACTCACAGCAATAAAGCCAGTAGTTTGCTTTGTTTTCATAGGGGAATTTAGTTTTTAATCATGCATTTCTCTTATTAATATCAATGGGATACTTGCAACTTATTTTATATATCTCTCTAAAAATACTTAGCAACAACACTGTGTCAATACAATACAGTCTTAATAGAAAAACATAGCCATCAGGGTGCAACTAATTCCTCTCAGATATTAATGGGAATTCAGCTCAGGGACAGTAAAGATTCAGACTCTAAAAGCTTAAAATA